TTTGAGACAGTTTCACTCTGTTGTCCCAGGCTGGATTGCAGTGGTGCAATCATGGCTCATTGTAGCCTTGACGTCTCAGGCTCAAGCAATCCTCCCACCTCAGCCTCCCAAGTAGTTAGGACCACAGGCAAGCACTACCATGCCCAGCTAATTTTTGTCTTTTTTTGTAGGGATGGGGTTTTGTCATATTACTTAGGCTGTTCTTGAACTCCTGAGCTCAAACGATCTGCCTGCTTCAGCATCCCAAAGTGCTGGAATTATAGGTGTGAGCCATCACACCCAGCACAGGTTTTTTAAATAACCCAAATTAGGTGATTGGTTTTCTAAGGTCCCACAAGGGATCTGATGCATATTTTCTGTCATCTTTAAATTTAGCTTCTCTCTCTTATTAACCATTATTATAGCTTGGCCGAGTGTGGTGGCTCATTCCTGTAATACCAACGCTTTGGGAGGCCGAGGTGGGTGCATCGCTTGAGTCCAAGTGTTCAAGGCCAGCCTGGGCAAAATAGTGAAATCTTGTCTCTACAAAAATGAATTTTTTTTTTTTTTTTTGAGACACAGTCTCAGTCCATCACCCAGGCTGGAGTGCAGTGGCGCAATTTCAGTTCACAACAACCTCTGCCTCCCAGGTTCAAGCGATTCTCCTGCCTCACCCTCCTGAGTAACTGGGATTACAAGTGTGCACCACCATGCCCAGCTAAGTTTTGTATTTTCAGTAGAGACGGGGTTTTGACATGTTGGCCAGTCTGGTCTCGAACTCCTGACCTCAAGTGATCTGCCCTCCTTGGCCTCCTAAAGTGCTGGGATTACAGGTGTGAGTCACTACACCTAGTCAAAAATAAATTTTTTTAATTAGAATGTGGTGCCATGTGTCTGTAGTTCCAGCTACTCAGGAGGCTGAGGCAGGAGGATCACTTGAGCCCAGGAGTTCAAGGTTTCAGTGAGCTATGATCACACCATTGCACCCTAGCCTGAGCAGCAGAGCGAGACCCCATCCTTAAATAAGAAAACTGGCAAAACTACTTGTGGTTTTCAAAGGCTGCTCATCACTTTGAAGACAAAGGTCTTTAATGAAAAATAAGGACCGTCTTTCTCCAGATCTTCATTCTGGGCACAGACCTAGCGCTTCCAGCTTCAATCCCTGCCACGCTTCCTCTCGCACTATACTCTAGCAGATCTTGTTGATCATACTATGTTCTCTCATACCTAATCATTTCTGCACAGGCTGTTTCCTGCCTCAGATGCCCTCCCCGCACCCCACACCCCACACCCGTCTTCTCTCACACTGTGCCCTGGGTGAGGGTTTATTGACCAAGTCTCCTCTCTCCCCAAAGTAGGCGCTTTGTTCTCTAGCCTCCCAGTACCCATCCCTGTTTTATAATTGTTTCTTTTTCATCTGTCCCTGTCTGTGGACCTTTGAGGGCAATATGTCCCCCCCCTTTTTTTTGAGGTGGAGTCTCTCTCTGTCACCCAGGCTGGAGTGCAGTGGTGCCATCTCAGCTCACTGCAACCTCCATCTCCCTGGCTCAAGTGATTCTCCTGCCTCAGCCTCCTGAGTAGCTGGGACTACAGGCACCTGCCACCACGCCCAGCAAACTTTTGTATTTTTAGTAGAGAGGGAATTTTGCCATGTTGGCCAGGCTGGTCTCGAACTCTTGACCTCATGTGATCCACCTGCCTCAGCCTCCCGAAGTGCTGAGCCACCATGCCCAGCCAATAGGTCCTTTTTATTCATCTTTTTGCCCCAGCGCATGCCCTGGAGTCTAAGTTTTACATAAGTGTTGGTGAAAAAGTCAATGAATGTTGGGCTAACTAGTGCATGGATGAATTATTTCCCTAGCCTTGCCTTACCAGCTGCTTAGATGTTTCGGTGATCAAGGAAGAGTGACCACACCTGTATTTTGGACCTCAAATTGTCTGTTCCAGTAGGTTATTGTTTGCAGTTCCTCTTAGCAGTTTCCAACAAGAGCCTAATTAACTCCCGGTCTTCATTCTAACTGAGAAAGCATCATGAGGCAGCCTGCTCATGGCCCACCTCACTTCTTCATAATTGGCATGCATCTATATATATCTATATGGGACTTCCCTTCATCTCACAGATATTAAGAAATAACTTGGCCAGCGCAGTGGCTCACACCAGTAATCCCAGCACAGGCTTAGGTGGGTGGATCACCTGAGGTTAGGAGTTGGAGACCAGCCTGGCCAACATGATGAAACCCCATCTCTACCAAAAATATAAAAAATTTTTTTAAAAAAACAAACATATATATATATATATATATATATATATATATATGAAATTAGCCAGGTGTGGTGGTGGGCATCTGTAATCCCAGCTACTTGGGAGGCTGAGGCAAGAGAATCGCTTGAACCTTGGAGGTGGAAGGTGAAGTGAGCTGAGATTGCACCACTGCATTCCAGCCTGGGTGACAGACCATGACTTCCTCTAAAAAAAATAAATAAATAAGAAAAGAAAAGGAAAGAAATAACACTTAGCTTGGTGGCTCATGCCTATAATCCCAGTATTTTGGGAGGCCAAGGCAGGAAGATTGTTTCAGCTCAGGAGTTCAAGACCTGCCAGGGCAACCTCAAGAGACCCCATCTCTAAAAAAAGGAAGGAAGGAAGGGAGGGAGGGAGGGAGGGAGGGAGGGAGGAAGGGAGGGAAAGAAAGAAGAAAAAAAAGGAAAGAATTTTAATTAGCTGGGCATGATGACATGTACCTACAGTCCCAGCTACTTAGGAGCCTGAGGTCGGAGGATTACTTGAGCCCCCTAGATCAAAGCTGAACCATGATCACACCACTGCACTCCAGCTTGGGTAACAGTGAGACCCTGTGTCAAAATAAAAGAGAGAGAGACAGAGAGAGAGGAAGAAGGAGGAGGACGAGGAAGAGGAGAGAGGAGGAAAGGAAGGAAGGAAGGAAGGAAAAAACAAAAGAAAGAATAACTAAAATCATACTGAACACAAAACCTACAAAAATTTATGTTAAAAGCTGCTTGCTGTAGGGGGTAAAAGCAATTATTTCAATATCAGCACTTTAAAAAATGTTTTAGGACAAGGCGGCATAGAAATTTACTTAAACTGCATACACATAGTATCAGACTCAAAAAGGGCCCAGATCATTGAGACTTATATGCTCTTTTCATAGGTAAGAGAGGTATAGACCTGGGAGGCAGACATGATTTTATAAATGATTCTCTTTGGAGGCTAGACAAGGCAGACAAATTAAGATGAGGGATAGAGCTCAAGCCTGTAATCCCAGCACTTTGGGAGGCCGAGGTGGGTGGATCACGAGGTCAAGAGATCGAGACCATCCTGGTCAACATGGTGAAACCCCGTCTCTACTAAAAATACAAAAAATTAGCTGGGCATGGTGGTGCGTGCCTGTAATCCCAGCTACTCAGGAGGCTGAGGCAGGAGAATTGCCTGAACCCAGGAGGCGGAGGTTG